ACGTGTTGTATAAGCCCCCATTATACAAGCCAAGGCAGGGCAGAGGCTTTCCCAGGACTATTCAATCCTCCTTTCTCTTGCTCAGTTTCACAGTTGCTCCCTCATTCCTTCCTTCTCACTGTCCCTTCTCTTGATGCTTGCTTGGACATCAAACAGGTGAGTCCAGATGCTTCCATCTCTGTGAGTCAGAGCACACAAATCACTTGGCCTTTGAATGAAGTATGACTGTGGGACCTACAGTTGCTCATGTGAGCTGTTGAGGACATTATTTTCCCCTTGAAGCATGCATGTTCCTTTTAGGGCACTCCATCACATTCACCTTGAGATTCTGTTTTTCCATGAAGAAGTGTCATATCAGTGGCAAATTTCTGTGCACCCCAGTACTCACCCTTCAAGCAAATGTTCTGAAAGCATCGTCAGGCTATTTTTTTTTTTTTTTAATGGAAAAATGCAAAGTGATGCTGCTCCTCCTAACAGACTTCCAGAGTGCATTTCCTTCTTCAGAAATAGCCTGCTTCGATCCCTCAACAATCCCTTTGCCAGATCACTTTCAATTCTCTGTTCTGGTCACACGGAGAAAAGCAGCATTCACCAGAAATAACATGAACCTTCCAGAGTAAGAACCACCACCTGCATTTGAAAACCAACTCCAGCACAGTGCAAATGCACTACTTTTCACATTCTCTCTCATTTCTACATGTTTAAGTAATTGCTCTCAACTCAGCACACATCTGCAATACGTTGAAACCCATTTCTCTGGTTTTCATATTCTGACTCCAAGACCCTAAAAAGCTGCTGAAATACGTATTGGCAACTCATCATAATCTTCCAAAGAAAAAGAAACATAACACTGTATTGCAAACAGAAAATTCACTGCAACTTTAGAACTATGGAGCATATACTGATGACCTAACAAGTACAACTTGCTTCTTAATCAACAAGAAGGGAAGCTAATTATCTAAAGCATGTCTTTTCATGACAGAGGGAAAGAACAAAACAGTAACTGAAACCCACTGACTTACAGACTCCCCAGTTGAAGTCACCCCCTGTATCAGGAAGAGAACACCACATAGTTTTACCTGGAAACTGGAGAGCTTAAGCTTTTCAGACCTGGCTAGTATTATACAATAGAACAGACTTTCTATTATACAATACTGAACAGGTATAAAATACCAGTATCACTCTTATTTCCCTGTCCCCTGCTATAAACCCCTTTGAAAACCTTAAGTCTTTACCACATCTATCTTGGGACTCTTCCTTGCAAAGCCAAGATACCTGCTCCTTGCAGTTTGGTTTTTTTTTTCTGCAGCACAGTAAATTGCTACCCTTTGGAATGCTTGAAAAAAAAAATTTGAATGAAGTCCAGAGGAATAGCCAGTGGCTGTTCTCTCTGTCTTAACCTAGATCAGTTTGACATAAGCCATTTATTTCATGGTTAGCCCCGGAAAAATCCTGCAGAGAATATAAATTTGTGCATTAATCCTGCTCACTGGTTTGGATCCACTTAGGTTTGGATGAAGGAGGTGCCACGCTGCAACCCCCCCAACTCAAATTTACTGTTTCAAATGCTTTATCAAAACATCATTCTGGAGCCTTCCGTGATCCTCACACGAACTTATTATTGCAGAGGAGAGAAAGAGACACCACTGTAAGCAGTGAGCATTAAAATGAAATATAAAGCAGCATTAAAGTTGCTCCGTGCTTAATGCTGCAGTTTAAGCAGCTAATCTTGTTTCGGTTGAATGGCATGTTCATTACAGCAAATAAATCAGTAACATGTAGGATTATTGAAGAGGAAAGACATATTAAACCAGTTTAGGGCATCATATTGATTTTTCAATATTTTTTTTTTAGTGTCCGATTTAGCTTGGCGTTTTTCAACAGTCAGTTCTAATAAACGCTTGTATAGCACAGATTAAGCAGGTGGGAACACTGCCCAGAAAGAGTATTATGAATAACTTAATGCACTGGTTTAATTGCAGCAATCCATGATACTTAACTGTGCTGGCACCAGAGGGGAATTTTCAGTATTAGAAGTTAAAACTTCAACCAAGCCACTAGCGAGTATCTCCCTTTTATTAAATATTTGAAAAAGCTTTCCAGTATTTTCACTTCAGATGGGAGCAGGGAAGATTTCCGAGTTCATGTAACTACTTAACTTGTTTCCACCACAACTAATTAAGTTATTTTTAAAAAGTAGTTATCGTTTACTTTGGCACAGCTTTGCCCCTCTGACGTGGCAAAACGTTGCAGCCATGTCCCTGCTGCCCCTGTGCCCAGTCAGCCCTATTCTGCCCAATGCCCTTTGCAAACAATGCACAGAAGCAAAAAAGCCCAAACCTAGCTCACACTTCAAGCAACAGGCTCCTCTCAAAGCCACACTGCAGAGTATTCCCATATTGCTTTCCCACACTGCACCAGCTCCCTGGCACTATCCTTGCCACAGTTCAGAGGAGTGAGTCCTTTTGGAGTCTGTCCATTTGGCGATGGCCATACTTGAGCAGCAACTTAGTGACCTTTAAGGGGTCTCAAAGTAGGGCTGGCAGCAGAAGAAACACAGTTAAGGCTTAGGTAAAGTAGCAAAGGGCTCCCCATTGCCTCCCCTCAGCCTCAGCAATTTGTCCATGTAGAGTGGACACCTCTGGGTAAAACACCAATGACATTTGCAGTAATCAAGCTCCTGTCCCACACAGCATACACCGAAACACCAAGGCAAGGATTCAGTGGGAAGTTGTTTTGTCTGTGGGGCAAAAAAATACAGCACTTTCTTCTCTGTAAAAGCCTGAAAGTAACAAAATCTCTCCGCAGAACAACAACGTCCCTTTTCCTTCACCTCTAACCTGTGCAAGGTATGAAGGTCCATCTTAGCCCACTGCACCTCTGGAGAAGTGTGCCTGCTCATGGATGCTCCCATACACTCACCTTAGCCAGCACAAATCAGAAACGCCCCAGGCACCACCTCTGGCCCAAAGCAGATGCTGGGGGAAACCAGCTTGGAGCAGCACCAACTTTCCAGCAGAGCAAAGCACTGAAGCTGTGTGCCATAGCAGAAGACACTGGTCTGACAGCTCCCTAAGCCCACACACAGTCCTGGGTACAGACCGTGCCAGGAACCCTCACAATGGCCAACAGAGGTGCTAGTATCTGTATCAAACACCTGTGCTTGGAAAAGGTTATCACACAGCTGATTGTGGTCACTGATCACTTCACCTCCCGTTTTCTTCCTTTCCATGTTATTTTTGCCTTAGATTAGACCAGGGCCTCCAAGATAGCAACTGCATTTCAACTCTCAGCACAACACAAGGCCACATTAATGCACTAATTGCACATAAATCATCCTGGCTGACTCCAACAAGTAGCAACAGACACCTATCACAATGCTGGGAGAAGCAATGCTCCAGAGAAGCTTGCAGAATTTACTGGCTTTTGCTCTTCCAGTGTGTAACTTTTTACACTGGCAAAGACACAGAATGTGCATCCTGCACAAACTCAATGAAGATCAGGCAAAAAAAAGCTTACAACAGTCTCCGAAGGAAAATTCACAATGAAATATGAACAAAATTGGTAAGTTACTCATACATTCTGATTAGGAGTGCAGTGATTTTGCTAATCACACATTTTATCATTCCAGAGAAACTCTACATTCAGGGCACGAAAACTAAGGTATAAATTAGCAGAAACACAAAAGATTTGACGGTACTTGATTAACCGGACAGAAAGCACTAGAAACAAAACATTAGGAACTGAAGCCATTTTGTGATTGTAGCAGGTATTTAATAAGGATGGAAAGAACAGCCGTTACACAAAAAACCAGTTATTTCTGGTTTGTTTTGAAAAGTCTCTTGTTTAGTGCTAAACAGGAGTCCTCACTCAACTCAAAATAGAACAGAAGCTTTGTAAAGAACCTTTGAACCAGGATTATTTTGACACCATCACACAAGTCAGGTGTCCTACCAGAAGAAAGCAGTTGCTTTTAAGTAACTCAGAAGCAAGTCCCTGTTGTCATCCTACTACTTCCTCCTATTCCTACGTATGCCATGTCCCATCACAGACCAGTGGAGGACCTGGGGCTCAGCTGCACTGTTTCCCTACCTCCAGCCCCAGGCCCACCTCCACCAAGAAGCCAGAGCATCACCCTTCCAGCTCAGCTGCAATCAAGGTCCCATTCGTTACCCTCTTTTCTCAGGATATTTCAACCACCCGTGCACCTGAGCAGCCTCTCCCTCAGAAGCACTTGGTTCCATGTGTGTTTACAGACGCCAAGTTCCACTCACCAGTTACTCTCAGAGCCCCTGCTCCACTCATTAATTAAGTCCTCTGCTCTTCCCACTTGCCCTTCCCCTGAGCTGACTCCCTTCCAAGCTTCTTCCCCAAGCATATAGGCAACCAGAACCGTTCCTAGTTTTCCAGCTGAAGCCATACCTCATGCACTGGCATTACAATTTCCCCAGCCTTCCTGGAAGCCCCTTGCAAGGGATACACTTGCAAGAGTTAAATTTGCCTTTGAGAAATCCACAACCCAACACCAGCGCACAAGGCTCCTGCCCTCAGGTGAGACACCAGGCTCTCTCCAAGGTGACGCACTGCACCGCCGTTTTTAAAGAACTCTTGCAGCCCAACAGCAATCCAACACCAACACCGTGCCTGCTGAAGCTGAAAGTGGCCAGTGCAGGCAACCAAAAGGCTCCCCACGAGGACAGTAAGTTATCCCCACCAGCCTTACTCACGCACACCCACCCGAGAAACTCCATTGCAACTAACAGGAGCCTTTCCATAGACTTCAGGAGGCTCTGACCCAGCTTAAACTCCACCCTTTCTCAGCGGTTGCCATTGATTTGTTCTGCAATTCAGCACAGCACTGCTTTGAAAGCATCTTTCTGATGCTGTTTCCCGGCAAATGGATACTGGGGAATAATAAACAGGTGCTTCTGGACACAAACCCAGAAGAGCAGGAGTATAAAACTACTATAGATGAAGCAAATAAGTAACCACACTGATCATTGTATATCAACAATCTTTATTACAGCTGACTTTCCATGTTTAGAGGTTTCCTAGTAAGTATAAATATGAATCAAAGTGCTATCCCACAGTAAGAAATCTTTATTTGCACAGAAAAGATACAAACAATCAGTATTTCAAAGTTTATGCTACTTAATACATGTAATACCAAAAAGGCAAAAAATAAACCAAGATGAAAGACTAGCAGCAAAAAGAATTCTATTTCTCTTTCAACACAGTCTGTGTGCTTCCACATTTCTCTAGCAAATAGAGTATAAAGATAATTCAATCAATTCATGTATGAAATATCCTACCAAAAATATAACACTGTGTAAAGAAAGTTAATAGTACAAAGTTTGGGGCAAGGGAAAAAAAAAAGAAAAAAGGAGAAAATAGTAGATGTATTATTAAAAATCTCAAGTGTAAACTTTGCTGCTGCTTTAAAATCAGAAACAACAAAAGTCACATGAGTATTTCCGTTTGGCTTAGGAGCGAGGAAAATAAGAAAAGCTGATTTTTTTTTTTAAAGTGCTTAACCACCATATCCAAAAGTAATGACTTTCAGACCTACTTAACATGAATGTGCTCAAAAAGCCACTGCTTACAGTATAAAAGCTGTCATTCTGAAATGCTGCACATTCAAACTGGCTTTATCTGCACGAATGAAAGATTCCTTTGAACAGCTCTCAATCATATGATGTCCCAAATCAATGTAATGCTATTAGAGCAGGCAGCTGAATTAAGTCCCAGAAAGTTGAAGTTTAAGAATAATAGATATAAAAAAATAATCTTTTTTTAATTTAAAGGCAGCATGCGTCTCCCAGCCACGTGAAGATAACTTCATGGAATAAGCAAGAGAAACAGTTTTATATTATTGTTGTAAGCTACCTAAAACAAAGTTGATCTCATAATTCACATGTTAAGCAGCAGGAGACAGATACTTCTTACTGGTAAAACACAAAAAGGCAATTGTGGGTGGGACCAATTGCTAACACAGTATTTTACTTATTATTAAATATACTGTTAACTTGACTTCAAAATAAACAGTATGTCCTAACAAAAATAAACAGTATGTCCTAACAAAAAAAAAAAAAGAAAACAAGAAAACCGATGATTTGAAGAGCTTTAGGACTGTTTTGTTACACTGTTATAGATTTATTTGAGCCTTAGAGTAAAGAAAAAATTTAACATTATGGGCTCCAAAGCAAATCAAATAGATAAGACAATTTCATGCAGGGTTTTGACAGACATCAGACAGATTGCAAGAGAAATTTAAATTTTTTTAGCTGTAATGGCCATTATTTTTTAATCTCAAGATGAGAAAACACATTTAAAAATTGGAGCAAAGACTCTGACATTCATTAACCCCAGGTACTGCTGTAAGTCATTTCAATTCCACCACTCTCCCAGATCAGAAATACAATAAACAAACTGAACTGCCAGTATTGCTGCAGCCACTGAATTGTGCCCACAGAGTGACAGCAGCACGACCCATTCCTGCAGTTATTGCACTAATTTCTCCATCAGCTTTGGAATTCTGCAAGCTCAAATTTGTTAACATCCATCTGTTTCACAGGAATAATATTTTTACACTATTTCTTGAAAGTCACTAATTTCCAGCACAGTATATTCATTGTCCTTCAGAACACTTTTTAAGTTAGAGAACCCTCTGGTTCACTTACTGCTAAAACAAATGTTATCTAGAAAAGGCAACTTCTCCCCTACAAAGTTCCTGTAAACACCTCTGTATTAAGCCATAGCAAGTTCTAGAACAGGAAATCCAGCATCTCCAGTGACTTGACTTTACCTCACTTCTCCTCTACAAAAACATTAAAAAACCCCAGAACATTTTATACTTAAAAAGGAAAGGAAATGGCACAATAAAGACAGTGAAACATCGTTACCCAAGCAGACACGTAAAATAAACCTCTGAAAATATAGCATTTGAAAAGCAATTATTTTAGTGGTTAAAGTGTGCAAAAGACTAAATATGCCACCTGTTCCAGAGATAACTGAATACTGTAGCCATCAATGATTACTATTCAAGTCCAGCACTAGCAGTTGTGCTGCTTTTGTTGCTGTTTTGGACACTACATATTACCACTTTCTCTTCATTTTTCATGCCTTTTTGGTTTTGTTTTGTTTGGTTTTTTTTTTTAACAGATCCCATGCTTTTAAAGCTTGACTTTACAGTGGTATAGGACAGATGGGAACTTTTTCTTTTTTAAAGGTTTCCTGTCCATCCTAATTCTGACTATTATGTGAAATTAGAAATAATGTTTTAAGCAGGAACATCAAACGTTATTTCAAGTTTTGTCTGTCTTTCAAAATCACCTCAAAAGGATTCAAAATCTCAGGTTTTGTGAAACAAATATGATGAATATAGGAAAACACCACGCAAGGAAAGTGTAGCTGGTCTCCTGATGTGAACTACAAAAGCTTAGAAACAGAAAAACACCCGCTTCAGCCCGAGACTGAAAAAAAAACACCACCAAAGATTTTTCAAAACCAGAGTCCATACAGTGTCACACAGCCCTGCCTTGTCATGTTTGTTAATACCCTCGCTTAGAAGTCAGACAGCATTTTGTTTAACTTGTGTTGCTCTGTATCATTACACTAAACCATAATTAACTCCTCTTTTGTGCCGGCCTCATTCCAACACAATTGTACCCACTGTATACCAGCAGCAGTTCTCAGGTTTTGTTTTGCAGCTCAGCTGTATTTTTCTTGGATGTTCACAAGACTGGCATTTGACTGGATGCGCTTGGCTGGAAAGGGAAAAATTATATGAAAATTAAACACTAAGAATTCCACAAAACCAGTCTCTCCACTCCCTCTATTTATCCGACACAGACTCGCAAACAGCTTTCTGTTCACGTCCAGAAACTTTAATGAAAAGATGCGGCTGAAGCTCTTTACTACCCTTCTTCAGGGGACAGCAGCAGACTAATAGTTGCTATTAGCGCCGTCAGCACAGCTGCAGGCAGATCTGGCTGGGCCCCTCTCCCACACGAGCCAAGCGAATCCCTGGCACCACCCAGCTCTTACAGTGAAATGCCAACACCACCACTTACGCAAAATGAGTATCCGTTTCTTCTGCTTTGAGTGGAGGAAGCTACTAAGATAAAAAACAATAGGTAGGAAGAGAATAAAGGACGAAACTGCAATCACTGGGACTGTGTCACTGCAGGGAAAAGAACAGTTGAAAGTCCTGCTCCAAAGCTTCCGAGTGATGTTCATCTAAAAGAAAAACATAAGCAAACCATGAAAACAAGCACATGCATTTTTTCTGTGCAGCATGGCATGGCAAACACTCAGACCTCAAGGCATTCAAGTGTTTAAATACCACCTCAGAAAACAGCACTTTAACAGAACTCCCCCCAAAAGCAAGAAAATCCCAGGAAATCTAGAAACAGACAATTTAGACAAGGCCAAGATTTCATATCAAAACTTTAACCAGCTTCAAAAACACAACTTTACTCAGATACACGCAGACACTGGGAAACAGGCATGTGGCAAAAACCTCACTGACAGCCTGTGGGGACAGGACTAATTCCATACTTTTGACAAGCACTCCTTTAGCCCAGCCACTTAAACCCCCACAATATACAGAAGCTTTTTCCAAACATATGTCATCAGTGCTGAGGACCTCTAGAAACAGCTGCTGCAATAAGGAATCAATTAATACACCAGCTAGAACAATAGCAGTAAAGCTTCGTATGAAAAGCCAGAAGATTAGGAGTTTTGGTTTGGGGTTTTGTTTTTTAAATCCATCCCTTTAACAGTAACAAGAAATGAAAGTGCAGCTATTCAGTTCAAACTGGAACGCGCTCGAGAGATCAGGAGCTTCAGTCACGCTCCTGCAGCCCTGACTGAGGACAGGACCCGGCAAGGCAGCCCCACCAAGCTAAATTCCCACCGTGGGACATCAGCCTGCCAAAGGCACTGCTGCCCCACACCCAAAGGGAAAAGGCAATCCCTAGCCAGACAAGCACAAATGGCTGAGATTAATAAAGACCCCCACGCCTCCGTGTTGAGTCTTAATGAACACTTACTGCATCTTCCACGTCGATACACAAGTGTGCCGAGTGCCCAGACTCTCCACCTTGCCTGTTCATCCTCTGCAAGTTGTTATACAGGTCATTCAACTTTGTGTAGGTTTCGTTGCAGTTCTTACACACTTCTGTGTAGTTATTCGGTGACAGATAAACGGTTTGTCCCTAGGGTTATAAAACTCTGTGTGAATGCTGGTTTAAGGCACTACAAAAAAATTGGTTTGATTTGTTAGGTTGCTACTGCTGAGCTATACTGACAGGGACAGACAGTGTCATACTAAGTAACCCTTTTCATTTGTGGCCTTCAGCACCTCCTGAATGCACTCAAAAACAAAACCACAATCTCTGAAGATATTTCAACACAGTAATGGCTGTATCAGCTACCCACTGACCATGGGGTTAAGTTCTAGTCTAGACACTTGAAGTGATCAATACGCAGAACAAGGCCTATAAAATGAACACAGCCTATAAAGGCACATTTCCTAGAAAGCATTAATAATAAAGAAGCAGTTTCCTCAGAGATTGTCCCATACCCATCATTTTCCATTTCTACTACTGAATGATCCCATAACTTGGCTAGTTTCTGATTGAAATGGAATATGCACTGTTTCTTAGGCTATAATAGGGCATTTTCTCTTAGGATAATTACCACATTTATTTCACTAAGGAAGCTATATTGCTTTTGCTATATGGCCAAACTTCAACTACTCCCAATTTTACGAGTCAAAAGAAATGTTACAACAATTTAAGGTATCTGGCCTTTCTGAACTAGTCCACATTATCAAAAGGATAGACTGAATTTCTATGCCAAAACACAACAATTCTACAAAAAGAAAGAAAAAGAGACTTACAGCATGCAGACATGATATTTCTTACTGTATAATTATCAACTACAGTGAGTTCAGATATTCTGATGTGAAGTAGCATTGCAATTACATACAAAATGAAGTCAAGGTGAGTATCAATTAGAATTAATTTTAGGCTCTCAATCTGTAAACTGCATTTTACAGATCATTGCTTTATCTGCCTACAGTTCACAGACTCAGCAGCAATTTATTTGTCTGGTCTGTATCTGTGGATTATTCAACATCAATAAGATTTTGGTAGCAATTAGAGGATTTAGAGCTTCTCTTAAATACACAGCACAAATACCTGAAGGTTATGTTCAAAACATGTCAAAGATTTATTGAATAAATCCAGGAATTCTTCAGTAGAATTTGATAATCCCTCACTGTTATTCTTTAAACAATCTGTCAAAGAGAAAGAAAAACATCAGGATATTCTAATTCCTAACATTTCTACAGCTGGCAAGCCCCAGACACTCCAGTCCTGTAAAAAGAGCTCTCGACTATAAAAGACAGGTCTAGTCAACACTGCGGTTCCTCATCTGCCTGCCACTGATGTCTCAGACCTGCTGACCTAACTCTTCATCGAGAACACTTTTCAGAATTAATTGGCCTTGATTAAGTGAAAGATGAAGACTATCATCAAGAGCTTTCTGAAGAGGGGGACTGAATTATCTTTGGACTTTGAGATAAAACAAGACATTACTTTTATTTTCCAGCCTACAAATCTGGCTTTGCCCAGCAACAGCAGCAGCCATTTTGTGCACCAGCAGTGGAAATGAAACGGAGAGCACCGAGGAAATAGCTAGACCACAAACACAATAGAAGAAATCACAGTGTAGATTATTATTCTTTAAGAAAAGAGCTGAGCTTTTCATCAGCTTTGAGAGGAGCTCTGGGGCATTCCTCCCAGTCATAGGCTCAACCCTACCATGTTACTGCTTCCATCCATCCTACCCTGCTTTAGGTGCTCTAACCAGCCAAACTTTTGAAAACAAGAGTATTTGGGAATTTAGGTGTTCAGCAACAGCATTGTGAGAGCAAGCCAACATCCTAGAAAATGCTCCTGAAAGAACCAAGCATCATCAGCAGTGAGGGCAAGCATTCAGCTGGGCACTGGGCAGGCAGCACACAGGTCACAGGCTAAGCATGGCAGGACAGCACAGTCCACAGAGCTGCTCCTGTTCTGCCTTTCCAGCCCTCACACAGCCCAGACTCACAAACAAGAACAAACTCTCCTGGGCTCTCAAGAGATTCTGCAGCGAATCCAGCATCTTTAACGCTCAACTCCATAGTGCCATTCCCACTCTTTCCTAGTGCACCTGTTAGTGCAGGGTCCCACCTAGCACACCAGGGGAATGGCAAACAGCCACAGTTTCGCTGCTAGCATGGCACAGCAGCATCAGCATCGGGCCGTGAGATGCAGGCATACACTCAGACACCCTCCACCCATAAAATGAAATCAAAAGCATGGCTGTGGAGGCAGGTACTGTTCAACATGTAAGGATCCCAGAGTTAATAACTTTACTAACAAACAAGGAAAAGATTCTTTTGCAAGTTTTTTTTAAAAACAGAAAGATAGGAAAAGAGAAACCACAATGAAGCTAAAAAAATTCTCCAGCAAAGTAAATCACAAGGAAAACTAGCAAGACTACTTTTTGAAAGATTAATCTAAAAGAAATATTTATATAACAATTAAGTTTTCCAACAGATTACTGCCCTCAAATTCTGGCCCTTACAGAAGAAAACACTCTTGGAGTGGCTATAGGATAGGATTTGCATGTTATCTACTGACTGTATTCAAATAATTAAGTATAATTCTGACCTGTGCAAATTCTGGGGCTAAGTCATAACAGCAGCACAAAAGCTACAGAACGAGTCACGTACTTGCACAGTTGGCTGCCTCCCAGGTTTCGTTAAAGAACTCCGAAAGGGTCACAACTATCTGCAGCCTGTCTGAGGTCAAGATGCTTTTGGCACAATTGTGGCTCTCAGAAGAATTCTGGAAACAAAAGGAAGCAACAAAAGAAGCGAAAAAGTATTAAAAATACGAAGGGAAAAAAATTAAATATATTTTGCACAAGCACAGCTAAACAATCACACATTGTATCAATATTTCCAGAAAAGGCAGGGCAGAACTGACAGAACAAAAATCTTTTGATCCTCCAACTCATACTATGAGTGACGCAGCTTACTGCACATGGTCTCTGAAGACTTACTAGGAAATGCACACAAGTCAGTCAAAAATACATGACAAAAGAAAAAGAAAACGAGCACAGAGACAGGGCCTTCTCTGCCAGGTGGCTCATTTTCATCCACTCCTGGGCCGCTACCCCAGGAGCCAGTTCAAGGCATGTGCAGCCAGAGAAAAGGACAGGGTTGTTCTCGTTAGACAGAAGAAACAGTTGAGGGAGCTGAAGCAATGGAGTGGCCTCAAACAAACCAAATCCAAACAGCAGAAAAACAGCCTCCAAAACCATTGTACCGACAGCAAACTTCCCCCCAGTGCAGCAATACCAGGAACAGTCCTCTGTGAAGCAGCGCCTGCACTCACTGCCCCAGGTCTCTGCCCAGGCCGGGCTCTCAGCCTCCCCACACACAGGCACCAAGCTCATCTCTCTCAGCAAGCCACCCCAGCACCTCACAGCAGGCTCTGGCACAACTCATACAGCAACTTATTCTCTAGACCAAGCTCATAAAAAAGTGGAGATCGACTCTAAAAGCAGTTACAGAATAAACAGGAAGTCTCCTGATCAGAATTCAGATACGGAACCATGACCTCCAGTCAGCTGACTGCCGTGCTCTGGCTCCTGGTTTCTGGCTGCTAAATTGACTTAAGCACTTCTCAAAATTGCCAAAGCTGCCAAAAGCCTCTTTGATAAGTGACGTGGGACATAGAAAAAAATAATCTCTTTAATGAGAAACTCGTTCCTTACAGAGCTTTACAAGAGATCCACTTTCTGCCTCTCTTTGTTAAAATGGGGTGGGGGGTGGGTTAAACAAGAACTTTCCCTTGGAGGCTCAACTGCAGAAGTCAAATATTGCCACATCTGGTAACTCCTGTGTTCGCTGACTTTCATTTCTACTAAGTGACAGATATGAAAGAACGTTGCTTATCTGGGAAATTCTGGTTGCTTCACAAAGGCCTCTAACTGTGAAATTTCCTCACCACCTGGGCTCATGAATAGGAAAAAACACTTTACCAAAACGGAATCAAGCAGACCTAAATAATTCCTTAAGTATGTTTGCCTAATTGATTCTTTAATGAGCCTAGTGAGGAGGATTTTACATTTCAGAAATGTCCAAAGCTCAAGTTGGCTGCCCTTGTCACGTTGCACTCTAACTATTGTTAAGATAAAAACACCAGATACCTGACTACTTGTAATCGTGGACTGAGGTTGCAAGAGGTCACCTCCTTTATTTACTTGGTTAGTTAATCCACACACAGAAGGAAAGACAAATGCTCTCTCACGCAGATGTGTCTTCCAGACCACAGAGTGGACCGGTGCTCCTCCCAGGCTGCCAGTGCTCAAGCACAGCAGCTACAGTGTGTACATACATATTCAAAGTACTGGAATACGTTTGGCAGCCTATTCCTAGCCAAAATATCATGCTAAAAGTACCCATGAGAACTGCATACTAAACTCTTCCCTTCCACACTACCCAGTCACTGGTATAAACAGTTTCCATAAGAGAAACAGATAAAACAGACTACATGTTTGCAAACTAAAACAAGAGACCAGTGACTACATATTTGCCCTGGAAAGGGCAATTACCAAGTGAACATCCATGCACTTTTCCAGTACAAGGTGGTGAGAGGAACCGGGCAAAAAACCCACCACCACCCAAAAGCAACACTTTTCCAACAGCAGGTAACTAAGCTGTGAAAGGCTTTGCAGCTGGACTCTGCAGCACCTGAAGTTTCCCTGCGTTTGAAAACCAACAGATTTTTCTCGTCGGTGGCAATTCTAAACTTTGGGATTCAGAAATCCCAAGACTGGAAGCACAGTCCAGGGTGCACACTGCTATAAATGTGCTCTCTTAACAGGGCACCCACTTCATCACAGATCAAAGGTCCTCTGACCCACTAATGTCATCCTCACATCATCCCAGGAGCTAACTTTTACAAATGGATAAACTGGGAAAGAGCAAACAAAACAAGCCATGAACCACATCCAACACTAAGAAATGAAAGAAAAAAAAAAACCTAATCAAAGTATGATCAAAGTCTGAAGACCCCCAGCTTCAGTCAAGGTTCTCCCACCAGGAGAGTGCATGGACTCCAGCCAGGGCTCAAGATTTCTAGTTTGCTGCCACACACTCCCATCACCTTCGGAGCCAAGAAAACCATGCCATGGCTCCTCACAGATGATGTGCATCACTCGGCACAGTTACAGAGACCATCCATTTTCCAAGGAGTGTCAGGCAACTATAAGCTCTGGCAGCGTTCCCCATTAGTGCTGTACGACATGTAAGCCAGAGCACTTCTCCAGTCACTGCTACCTCAGCAAGAACAACTCAAGTTTTTCCACTCGCACAGCTTTTTTCTGCAGGTGGAGCTACTCGCCCCTGGCCACGCCACGAGCTGGCTACACGGACCACGCCGTCCCACGGAGCAGGAGGCGGCCGTCACCGGCAGCAGCGAGTCCCACACACTCCCAGCCTCCGCCAAACTGCCCTGCGCACCCCGGTGAGGCTCCCAGACTGCCTTCCCACCTCCACCCGACGTGCTCCGGCACCGAACTCCCACGGCTGGGAGCCCCAAGGGAAGGGCCCAGGCCCGCAGCCCCGCCCCGGCAGCCCCGCACCCCCCTGACGGCGGACGCACCCCGACGGCGCGGGCGATGCCGCCGTACAGCGCGAGCAGGCGGCGGTAGTGCTGGTGGCAGCCCTGGCACAGCCGCACCGGGCGGGCGCGCCGGCCCAGGCAGTCCGTCAGCGCCGCGCTGCCCTCCGCGAAGGCGGCCAGCAGCCTGCGGCACTCGGGCTCCAGCTCGGGCAGGTCGCCGGGCAGCCCCGCGCCCCACAGCTCCTCCGCCAGCCCCTCCGCCGCCTGCAGCGCCGGGGCCCAGCGCGGCTCCCCCTCGGCGGCGGCGGCGGCGGGGCCGAGCAGGGCGAGCGCCAGGGCGAGCAGCGGCACCCGCGGCAGGCACCGCGGCGGCGCCATGGCGGCCGCGCCGGGGAACCGGAAGTGCCGCGCCGGGAGAGGACCCGCCCCGCCGCAGGCGCCGCCGCTCATTGGCCGCGGTGGGAAGGGCGGGGCCGAGGGGCGGGGGCGGCGGCCGGCCGGCCCGGGGCGGGGCGGGAGCGGAGGGGGCTCGGAATGGGATCCCGCACCGGGATCCCGTCCAGGGGCGTCCGCAGGGCCGGGAGCGCGTACCTGTGCCCACGGGATGCACCTGCCTCGGATGCGTGTCCTCTCCGCGTGGAGCGCGGTGTCTGTGACGTGCGTTTCATTTATTTAGCGCGCTCTCCAACCGAAGGGAATCGAAGGGTATCTGCGGCATGGGAAGCGACTTCAAAATATGCTGGAATACAGCAGTAAATAATAATTAAAAAAAAAAATCCCCAAACAGAGAAAGAGTTGATGATGGAGAAATAAACTGCAACTTTCTGCAGGCAACGTATTTCCCGCATCTTATCTGGAGCTGTACACCTTTGTTCAGGTACCACCTTTGTTGGTACCTAGCTCCAAACTTCCCCGTGGCTGATTCTGAGTAAAACCGCAGCCATCAAAGGAAAACTCTTCTGCTCAACTCAGGAGAAGAGAGTAGAGCAGTAGGTAACCCCTCGCTGGGGGTTGAAGTGCCAGGCTATCTGGCAGCACCTTGACCCCATACCTCTCCCATCCGACTAAAACTCTTTTCAGCCATTTCCATGGGCTTCTGACTGAGTCTGGGGTTTATAGTGCTCTGGTCAGTCGCACCAGAGAGACAAAGCAGAGCCCTGCAATTCCATAGCACGGTGCCTTCAGGAACAACAGAGCCAAGCAGAAATGGCCCCATCCATTTATTGCAGCTGATTCAGTACTGCACACATGGCACCGGTGACAGGAGACAGTGCTGGCTGACTGTGCCACAACAGTGGTAGCTGCTGGGAATTCAGGATTGTTTGAAACTCCCCACAGACACAGTTGTACCCAGCTCCAGCAGCTCCATGTCACCCGGCCCACCCAGTGCTGGCTTATGCCAGTCATGTAGCTAATGTCACAGCATGTAAATATCCAGGATAGATTTGTGAAAACACAACAGCAAAGGCAATAAAGATGCCATCAGGCAGTTGAAGAGCACCCAACAGAGAGCATCTGGCTTCTCTGAGTGGGCTGAATGCCTCAGCTCTGAAGAACCAGCTTCCAAAGCAATGAATGAAAACAAATGAAAACCACATCATGAGTTTGACACGGAGAAATGCGAGAGTTGATTAAAAAAGTATCACATTGCTTGTACTTGCAAATGATCAGGGCGAGAGCCCTAGTTTGGGTCCTGGACTTTCCCAGAGCCCCTCTGCCCGGTCTCCGAGCGGGTCCCACCGAGACTTTGTTCGACGCCAGACAATACCCTCCTGCACGGGGACTGCTCTTTTGGGAACCATGTCTAGCAAGGCTACTACGTGTGGAAGCCTGAAGCTGCTTAGCAGGACGCGTGTGGCCGGGTGGCCGCGTGGCCAGAAGATGGTCACTTTTCCTTAGCTCGCTAGCAGGGGCGCAGCCTCAGCACCGAGAAAGCCTGGGGCGGCGGTGCTGCCCGCACCAAGCCGGCGCCCGCAGCCAGGAGACGGGAACAGGGGCCGGTTGCCACCTCTAAGCCGCCCTCGGCCCAGCCGGCGACCAAAGACCCCCGCTGTCCTGCCACAGGGAGCGGGATGTCCCCGCAGTGCGGACCCCAGGCACGGCCGGGCTGCCCGCATCCCCCCGGGAGAGGGCAGCAGAACTCCCCCGCATCGCCCACCGAGGGGCGGCGGGGGGCTAAAAAGGGCCCTCGGCGTGTCCCACACAGCCCCGACAGCACCTGCATCCCGAGGAAGAGATGGAAAAACGCCCGGACGGCTCGTTTACCATCCTCACCAGAGATATCCGTCGTGTGATTCTGCACGGGCACAGGGGAAGACCGGCTGGAGAGGGTAAAGCTGCACCTTCATCTTCGCGGGTCAAGGAGGATGCGTTTACCCACGTCTTGAGAAACTTAAATGTTCTTCTGCGAGAGAACGTTTTCTTCCTCCGTGTGGAAACTGGTCTCAGGGGGTGGGGAGACGGAAAAAAAAAAGGAAGGGGAAAAGGAGAAAGAAAAAATAGAAAAAAGAAAAAGAGGAGGGAGGAGAATTTAAAAACCCCGACAACCAAGCTCAAAACTTTCAGATGAAATCTCCGAAGTATAACTGGAGTATAAACATTTCTGGCATTAATACATGCATTGCTGCAGACCTCTAAGGTGTCTGGTCATTAAATACTTCTCCTTATTATCAGTAATAAACATGGTATTACAAAGCAAAAATAGCAAGTCACTAACTTTTTCAGCTATGGTTCAGAACTAGGACTTAAAGAAGGCATGGACCCCTTCTCTGATAATAGATGAATTTTGTTGTGAGGCAGAAGTGGTGAAATTACCTTACTGCTCAGCCCCATCAAAGGGGTTGTGCTCACAACTAAAGCAAGCAGAATTTGGCCTTGGCCAGCAGATCTCAGAAATATCTAAGAATATCAGAAACCTTGTGAGGTTATATAGTCCCAATTATTCTTGAAAACACATCCATGTGTGTTTGGCAATACCTACCCTGACTACAATTCAGCAGGAGGAAGAGTCTTACCTTAAAAGTGCAGAAATTGAACATAGCAAATGAGTATTGATTTCCTATGCCATCTTGCTGGATCTGTGGAGATGGCAGTGTGAACCAAGGAAAACTAACAGTTTGAAGCTGTGAACCTGGTTCTCACTTCTGATTGTCTCTCTGTTAGCTTCAGTATTCTTTCTCCTGCTTTATGCCACTGTGAGCTGAGAGCCAAACTCTTTTTTCAAGTTTTCTTTTTATCTTTGAAGGATCGTGGCTTGGATAAAGCCTTTTCATCAAAGGGCTGGGAAAAGAGGATCAGACCATAAATATCAAGGTAGTGACAGAAAATTAAGTGATGGCTAAGACAGAAAGGAATCAGGCATGACTGGGAGGCTAAGTGCTTGGGGAGTGGTATTGCCTCAGAAAGGGAGACTGGGGCAAGCCACAGCTCAGAGGGCAGGAAGAAAGGGGAGAAAGGGCTCTGCCTCCGAAGTTGAAACTGCAGCACAGAATAGGGGCTGGCAAGAACAGGAAGGTGTGAGGTTTATCCACAGAGAGCTGTTTCTGGCATTGTGAAAAAGGAAATCTCTTGACCAATTTTATTGCAAAGATGACAAAGCTTAACATGAACAAAGGATCTGTGTATTATATCTTCTTTGAGCAACCTGCCAATGGAAAGCTTTTCTTCCCCATCACCATTACAGTTCTTCATGTCCCTATTAATTCACAGGGCCAGTGTTGGCTCCCTCATGTGCTGGCTGTGACTGATGTCAAAGCCTAACAACAGGTATCCCAATTAAAATGACTTTTTCCAGATTCCACAGAGCATCAGAAAGTGGTCCAGAAAACAGTACCACATATGTAATTAATAAAGGGCACACAGACATCAACATCCAGTCCATTCCAAATGTGAAGACAAACTCAGGAACCTCGTTCTCTGGGTGAGTTCAAGAAACTGCTAGCACCAACTAAAACTTCAGCAATGTTAGACTTATGGAAAAAGTGTGTCAGTGACGCATACAGAATGCTCTTTCAAGAATGTTCTGCAAAAATCATTTTATTCCCAGAACTGCCAAATGAAACAAGGAAAGACTAATAGCATCACAGTTTTCCAAAGAGGTGGGACTGCATCTACTGTGCCTGGCTGTCCAACTCAACCAGGATCTGCAATGTGTTTGTTTTGGGCAATTATATGGCAAAGTGTGAAGCAGACTATTTGCTCTTCTAAGCCAAATCACCACATTCTCGTTTTGGAGAATCATGAACCTCCACCCAACATCCTCTAGAGACTACCCAGGATCCATTTGCCATATCCACCTGCTTCTGAAGCCTATGTTCTTTGTAGCCTCTTGTGAATACTTAGGCCACATTCAGCTGGGACAAACTCAGCAGAGGAGTCCTGGACACTGTCCTGACCCTGTGGCTAAGGTATCAGGAGGCGTTGAAGTGACCTGTGATGGTGAGCCAGAAAGCCATCAATAAGTTCCCCATTCCCAAAGAGATAGAGCGAGAACACCGAGACAGACATCAGCTAACCCGCTTCCTATTTAAAACCAGCACACTTTTGAAGAGAGAAAACCACCCCACATCTTTGTATGAAGGCTCTTATTTTCTGTAAGTGTATAACAACATCATAGCTTCAGGAATCATATATTGTGCTGTATGATCTTTGCCTAGACCTTAAATGTTTGCGTATTATCCTCTCTATGAATCCATTGAACAGAGAAATATCATTTCCATGCACCTGTCAGAGGTTTTTGCTGTGGAAAGGAAAAAAAAAGTACATTATATTTTTAGAATCGTGACTAGAAAAACAATAATTGACAGCAGACAATCATGCCAGTCTGTAAAGATACAGTTAGAAATAAGTTGATGGGATTTTTTGTTTGGTGCTTTTTTTTTTTTCAGGATACTGCACTTGAGCAATTGAATGATATCACATTTAAGGTTCTGGGTGGCATTGCCATTTCCTTACTCATATTAAGTCTAATTAAGTCTTAATTGTGCTGTTTGTTATGAAATGAAAGAAGAGCTGTTAGACTGCATATTTTTCATGACAGTAAAATAGGATGATACTGATGAAATTACCAATGTATAGGGGAAAAAAGTATGCAGGAATGAAAAAACATTTGAAGATAATGTTTAAAACATAGCAGAAACATTAGAAGCACCATAATAGTGAAATTACCACAAATAACTTCTTGATTGACACAAATAATATGAAAGGTATATTCTTTTCATAGTGTGGATGACTGACCATGTTCAAAAAATATCCAGTGAGCCAAATTCTGCTTTTAGTAACCCTGGAGTCAGTGTGGTATCATCCCACTCTCCTCTTCAGTAGGAAGCAAACCAAAATTGTTCTTCCCTTTTGCACAGATTGTTTCTTGCTGGTCATATATATCCATTGAATTTTACCAAGTTCCCAAAGCACAGGCCTAAAACATGGCTCATAAGAGAAAAGAATGGCTGGGCTTCAGCAGATGTTGGATCCACTTGTGCACCCATCACGTTTCACTCCTTGTGTTACAGCCCCCCCAGGATGAGCCAGTGGAGGACACGCTCCAGAAGCAGAAGTCCTTTCCTCCTGCATTTACATGGTCAGGATTGAAGGAAAGATGCAGGAGCCAACATGAACATCTGAACTAATCAGCTAAGGGAAAAAGAATATTTTGACAGGTGTCTCCAAGTCTGTCCTGGTGAGTTCTTTCTTTACATCTCTTCTTTGCATTGTACCTAGGTACGTCCTTTCATCCGTTATAGTAGAAAATTATCTATTTACTAATATAATTTCCTAAAAAAAAAAAAGTTTTTTCTTTCTTCTCTGGATAAAAGATCACAGCAAGATGAGCCATAAGAGAAAGTAGCATAAACATGACAGATTATTTCAGTAAAGGTATTGAAATTTAAGCATTGCTTATCCTAATCTATGTTGATTATGGGAAAAGCAAAAAAAAAAAAATATAGAAATATTCAGCACAATTTTAGGTTATTGTAACAACAAGGTGCCTGCTGGTGAAGAGTTGGCAGAGATAGCTCTGGAGGAGAAGTCTATTGTCCCACCAGGCCTCGGTCAGCTGTAAGCTCCGCACTGTTGTGAGCTGTGAGGAACCTGGGAAGAGCCAAGCGTTGTTCCTGCACTGGGATATGTCACCAGCACTGGTCCATTGTGGTTTCCACAAAGGACCAAACTTCCTCATCTGTGACTTTGCAAATCTGCTCAGCTGAGTTCACCGAGGTTGCATGCAGGCAAGAAAGGGAGTGTGCTCTGGTCAAGAGGTTATAAACATAATGCTGAGTACCAGATGGCTAGCAGGAACAAACAGGCACTTCCAAAAGGCTACAGGCAGTTGAAGACTGGATGAAATTTTGTAAACAGTTGCCTTCACACCTCACAGTGTTCATTGTCATGTTTCAGCCTCAGCCTGCTGCTGTGGCCTGAAAGTCACTTACCGCCTTCCAAGAGTTCACATGGAATTTATATTAAAAAAACCAAACAGCAAATACTGTCCCAGTTGTAAACATCACATGTAGTTGAATGTAACTCACAGTGCTGAGATTGTATTTATGGGTGTTTTACTTGTAATAGCTTCTTTTTAAAATTATTTTTTTCCATTTAGAGTGTTTTTATTAAGAAAAAAAGCTAGTTCCACCCCCTCTCAAAAAAAAAAAAACCAAACTAACTGACTAACAGCAACAGATGAAAAACCCACAACTCATTTCCAGTTTTAAAACTGATCTAATACTGCATACTTAATCTTTGTCTGCTGGGCGGAACTGTACAAATGTACCTGCAGGGCCAGTGCAGGCAACCTGGCCACCCTGCCCACACCACACCCCTGAAGTCTCTGGCTGGCAGGATTTAGCTCTAATCCACATTTAAGGTGACAGTTGCACTGGCTCCTTCCAGGGGCAAAGGACCCCAAGCAAATTTTCAAGAAGAGGCTCTAGAGACAGAGAAGAGGTCAGGCTGTGAGGGTTTTATAAAAGAATAAAATCTTGATTTCCCTACTCTTTCTACACTGTATTAAGTGTTTGAAAGAGAGGAGTTACTTATTCAACACGAACTTGTCAATTCTTCATCATGTTGGGCAAGCCTTTGTCAGCAGCACGAGTTTGTGAATGTCTGAGATTGTCTTACATGCACTGATGTCTCACTGTCTTCCAGCTATTCAGAGCCTGGGTACATTTGTCGACAAATGATTAAAAAAAAAAAAATAAGGAACGGTTGATCCCGGAAAATTCCCACGGGATTTTCAACATCTTCGCTCGCGGTGAAAGCGGGGACACACACACACACACACACACACACACACACACACACACGCACACATCGGCCAGTCCCAGCACCGACTGGGGCCAGCTCCCTCTTTCTGTGAGCTCCGTCCAACTGCCGGACACCCGCCGTAGGAATTCTCCCTCCATGGTTCCTTGTTGCAAGGTGCGTGGCCCCGGCGTCGCGCGTGGAGCTCCTGCGCCCGTGGGAGCACAGGCGCTCTCCCCCCGCATCCCCTCCGCGCACCCCGGGGGGCGTCGAGCAGTGGGGCAGGTGGGGGTGGAGAGGATAGATAGGATGTCCATCCAGACGGATGGACAGATTGATGGACAGACTTCAGGTGCACCCTTCCCCTCTTCACGGCTCTGTCTCGACGAGGACAGTGCTGGGGCAGCCTACCGGGTTTCACTCCCACGCAGACCTCTGGAGAACTGCTGTGACTTTTTTTCCCTCGGAGCGCCGATATCCGGAGCCCAGATTTAGGGGGTTTGGGGGTTTTTTTCCAAGTCAGGTATTCCTTTCCTCACAACAACAACTGAACTTGTCACAGGGGAGGCTTAAACAGCTCATGAAAGGAAAGGATAAGCGCCGATGAAACCCGGCACGCACGCAGGGCTACACGGGCCCCCTCCCCTCAGCCTCACGCACACGGGAGCCGGGCACACTGCCCCTTGTCACAGGTGAGGTGCGTTCCGAGGGCTGTGGGGCTGAGCGGCAGCAGCAACCTGTTGACACCGGCGACCGCACAGGCAGCCTTCCCGGGGCTGGAGGCGGCTTCCCATTCCCCCTCTAAACCCTCCATCCCTTTCTCCTCGGCAGGGTAAGGCCGCGGGTAGAGGCTGGGGAGAGCTCGCTCGGTGCAGCGTCGGGGATCTGGAATATGCCCAGGCTGTCCTGCGCCCCTTGAGGTCGGGGCTTGGGGAGGCGGGGGTCCCAGAGCCCGATACTAGCCGGGCCTTTTTGGCATGGGGCGGGGGTTGTTTTGAGGAGCGGCCGTGGCAGCGGCTCCGGCGGTGGCTTTGGGAGCAATGCCGCCCTCCGGCCCCGCTCCCCCGGGCCCCCCCGAGCCCGCCGCCCCAGCCCCCGGCTCCGCCCCGCCGCCGCCGCCGGGGTCGCCTCCCCTGCCCGGGGCCGCTCTGGGACTCGGCTTTTTGTTATTTTCACGGAGCAGATATTAATTAAAAGAAATACATGATTAAAAAGTAATGAGTTGAATAAAAATTATCTCCGCTCATTTTCTGATTATGTTAATTGTTAAAAACCCTTCAATCACGCTGTTGCAGTCAATGGGTTTTAATGTGAAATTAGTGGGCTCTTGATAACTTACAGTCCAGAATAATCCTGGAGGTTTAGTCATCATTCCTAATAACGAGATGTTACTGAGAACAGAGATTTTTACATGATTTTGCTACATTCAGCCCTTCCCCCATGGAAGGGTCTGCCTTTGTGGCACAGAACTTCAATTTTCATGCTTACGACTACTTTGTTAATCTTCCCCTGTGTACTACTCCATTATACGCCAATTACATATTTTATGTGCCTGTGTGTCGTCTGAACATTTAGAAAATAACCCACCTTGTGTCCAATATAGGGAAAGAAAAACAATTTTGTCCCTCATGGATTTCTAGTTTTATTTTAGCCGTCCAACTCATCTTGGATATTGTGAGTCTTTCTTTGCTCTGATTAATTCTCTCCCTAAGAGATAAGAACAGGTTTATACTGAAAATATTAAAGTAGTTAAACTCTTAAGGAAAAAAAAGCGGCAGGCGCTGGTATTCTACAGGCTTAAGGACTAGGAGTGGAAATAAATATGTGGAGTCTCTCCGATGGGTGACCGTAAAGAGCTGGGAATTTGAGAACTTCAGCCCCCCGTTCTGAAATGCCGTGAAATTCGCCTATCAACGACGAAATGACGGCCCTCAGACCACTGTTACTACAGTCAACGTGTTTCTGCTCTAGAAATTCGTTTTAGAGAGGTTTCCTTTTCATGCAGATAACTAAATGTATCCTTTTCTGTTCGATAGACTTAAAAATTTTCACCTAAATCCACTCCTCGTATTCATCCAACAATTTAGCTAAAATCTCGAGCACTGACAGCAAGCTGACTCCTCGCTGGAAGGAAGGAAAGGAGCGGGGAGGAACAGACGAGCGGCTGCGGAGCACCGATCCGTGCTGCCAGCCCGGGATGTACCCAAATTCCTTCGCAGGAGCTGTCCCCGCTGCGGGCGAGAAGCCTCTCGGGCCGCCGGGGAGAGGACGCTGGGAGCCCTCGGGACCCGTGGGAAGCCGCCGGACCCGCTCAGTGCCACTCCTAGGGGCTAAAAAAAGGAGGGGGAAAGGAAAAAAAAAAAGGAGGGGAAAAAAAAAGGAAAGCAGCAAAATTGGCGCTCTCTGTTTATGTGTGTGTGCGAGCACATCCACGTATTCCTTTCCCCCGAGACAAAGTGCTGGTGCCGTGCATCCCTCTGTCACCACAAGGATATCTAATTACTGCTGACAGATAAGAAAAGATGTTTTCGGGCGGACCGATGGGGCTGGAGAGGGGGCGGCAGAGTGCGGGGCGCATTCCCTGCCAGCCCTGCACCGATCAGTCTGGGGAAAGGTCTCCGCCACGGCGACTATGGCTGCTGCTGGTTTAATACTGAACCCCTATTACCGCCGGCGAGGAGCGGGTGTTTGCTGGCCTTGAGGGAATCAGCGGGGTCGGGCCGGATCCTGCACTCCTGCCTCTGGCTCCTTTAGGGTGGGAGGAGGTCGGCCAGGATCGGGCCCTGCGTGTGCTGCCCCTACGGGAAGAGTCCAGCCAGTGGCAGCATCCTTGTTTCCCACCCATGCCTGCTCCCCTCGCCCCCTCCCGCGGGGCAGCTCCCGTGGGCTTCGGGCCTCGGGGAGCAGGGGAAACTTTATGTCCTAATTTGTTGTCAAGGAGAGCTCTTGGGGGGCTGTGGTTTGGTTTGTTGTTGTTTTGGTTTGGGGTTTTTGTAGGGTTGGTTTGGGGTTTTTTTTCCACTCGCGCTTCTGGTAAAAAAAGAGCCATTTGTTTACGAAGCCCTTCTGCCCCTATCTGAGCCCACCCGACGGGGCTCCCTAAAGGAGTGGGAGGGGGATCCCTCCGTGCCAGGCCCCCTCGCCAGTTCATTTCTCTATTTGCATCCGCAGTTAGCTAAAGATCATTTTAATAAATAACAATGAAAGGGGAGCGCATCTAGAGGGCTTGTCGGCAACATTCAAAAGCCAATAGAGTTTATAATTTTACTCTATCATTTCTTATTGATTAGAGTAATCAAGATAAAAAGCTAGCCGGGCTCCGAGAAGTTCAGCGGCATATCATTAAAGATAAGAGTCAGTTAATTCTGGCGCAGTAGTAATGGTGACGGCGATGAAGAGTTCATTTGCATGAGATGCTGAGCCCCGTAACAAGAGGACAAAAATCACTAATTAGGACTGCAGAGTGTCTCGAGTTCTTCAAGCACCCTTTCGAGATGAGGGATGATGCAAAGAGACCGCACTTTTATGTAAATCCAGGCCAGGACACCGCGACCGGGGTGCTGCTCCCCGGCAGGGATTGCCGAACGGGGACGGGCCGGATCCCCAGGGCCTCTCCGGGCTCCGGTGTGTACGGCCGCCTCCGCATGGAGCTTGCGGGACGCCGGCTGCCCAGAGCAGCCCGGGCAACAACGGGGAAAACACGGCTGCAGCGGGTGCCGGGGTTGCCCTGATATCTGCGAGGTGGGGCAACAGGGCAAGAAGAAAAAAAAAAAAAAGGGAGGGGGAATAAAACAAAAATAAAACCCGTAGCTGTGCTTAAAAGTTTATTCGTAGGTTCTATTAAAAAAAAAAAAAAAGTGAAAACAAATAAGCCTCACACCAATGAAAAATAGAATCTGCACTAAGGTAGCCCGTGAGCCTGCGGGTTGCTAAAAACTAGGGAGAGCGCTTCGCCGCGACCTGCGAGCAGGGTTCGCGTCCCTGTGGAGAACGGGGAGCGCCCCCAGGATCCCACAGTCCAGGGGGTCGCGCCGAGGCGAGACAAGCTTGGGATCCGCCAGTCCCTCCCGCTGCCTGCGGGCTCCCGGGCACCTCCTTCCCCACGGAGCACTAGTGGGGCCATCGCCCCCTCCTTTCATCGTGGTTACTGTCTTCCCCCTTTCCCCCTGTCTTGTCTCACACCCCACACCCCCCACACCCCCCCCGCTCCCACAGACAGACCCAAACCCGAGCAATACTACTCAGCTTCAGTCAGCCCTCCGGGAAGGAAGGACACCCGTGGGGCTTTGGGGAAGCTTCCCTCAGAAGCCGGGGGGCCAGCAGTGGGCTGATGGCTATCGACTTGTTTACTTGCTCGAAAGGTATCAGCCGCGGGAGGCTTGGCAGCTGGCTGTCAGCGCTAACTTTGCCCCTCGCTTGGCCGGGGAGTAAAGGATTCACGGCCTTCTTTGGGCTAATTGTAGGTGTCAGCGTGGAAAGCGGCAATGTTTGCCGCCTCTCAAAAGTCTCACTGTCTCTCTCGCCCCCCAGCAGCTCCCCGGCCAGCCCCGCCGCACACAGCCCTGCCTGCACACGCAGGACCAGGTGCCCCGGCTACACCCACCCCTCACAGCCTCCTCTCACTTTCACCTGTGTTCACACCTTTCTCTCTGCACACGTGTCCCTCCTCACCCACCCCGCATCTCCCGCTCACGAACAGGATCCTCGCCCGTGTATCCACCCGCGAAAGTCCCTCTCCCCCTCCGTTCTTTGCACACTCGCGAGCAAGAGTGCACACCAGCGCGTCGCCGTCTCGGGTGCACAGATTCCTCGCATTCCCAAAGCCCCTTCCCGCCCACGTGCACCTCCTGGCACCCCCTTGCACGTCCCAGCACACTCACATGCACATAAGCCCCACCTTCCCTGCAAGCTCACCTGCTCACACGCCCTCAGACAGACAGACAGACAGACAGACAATTACCCCGCTTCACAAACCTCCTCCCACCCCCGACACCCCCTGTACCCTCGCACACCCCCTGAGCCGGGGCCCGGGGCCGGTGCGGAGGAGGGTGGCCGCTATCCTCCCGCCTCGCCTCCCCGGTTCCCGGCTCTTTGGACTTTTGTCTGGCTATGTGGCTGAAGGCTCCTTTCCCCTTGTTCTTCCCATAGAGAATAAAGTCAGTCTGTATTTAATGGTTATGGCGGATGTGAGGAGGATTTGGCAAATGAAGAGGCCTTTTGCTCTAAAATATTGTTCCTTACGTCGTGTGAGTCTACCAACCCACCACGACCCCATATTCTTCTCCGGGTGTCTGACTCGAATGACAAACGAGCTGATTTTTTCAGTACATCGCTGGGAAATGTAGTGAGTGATAATAGAGATTTCTCTTTCATTTTTTACGCTTGACTTGGTTATTGTTGCTTTTCTTTTCCCGTGATTCCTTCTGAGGATTAGCTCTGACTTCCCCACTATTGGCGGTCAAAGTGGCCCAAACTCTGGATGACAATTGATGGGGATCAGGGGATTGCCCATTCTGTGCCTGTAAGAACTGATTTGTGCCAGAGAAACTCATCAAGTATAGGCAAAGAATAAAAAGCATTTGGGGGTAAATGTATTCATTGAGAAGGGTTCTTCCAAATTGCTTCTAAGTTTTCTTAATGAAAAGTAACGCTTGCAGCAATCAACGGCTTTTTGACGGATTACAAACCTGGGTAGGACTATGGGACTGCATTTAAAAGCGCCCCAGCCTTAGGATGGGGGCAACTTGCTCACAAAAGTGTAGGAACGAGGGTCAGGCCGCAAAATACAAAGCTGAGGTTTGATGCGTGTAGGAGTAATGAAAGGTGCATTAATTTATTAACATGGTGCGCGCAGGAGAAGTGAAAGAACAGCCCGGTGTAAGAAGAATCATTAACTCTCTACCCTAGGGACCCACCCAAGGCTCGCCATTTACATCAAAATAGTTATTGTATCTTTAGAGAGGTTAAAAAAATCCCGCGGCAGCAACGGTCCGTGTAAGAGGTGGAGGAGAGGAGAAGGGGAAAGAAGAA